CGGCGCCGGTTGGTTCCCCCGTTCGTTGCAAATGAAACCTGGTGACGTCTCACGGCCAGCCGCCGAGGAGATGCTTGATCGTCACCATCTTCCTCATCGTCACGCGCCCTCTCACACTGTGTTTGATCGGGGGAGGGGAGGGGGGGGGGATTGATGATGTCACCAGTGAGCCCGTAGGGTTAAATCCACGTGTCGGTACCTGCAGATCACTGTCCCTAAAAGAGGAAGGAATCCTTCAGCCAGGAGCAGCGATGTGTGTAACCCCCCCTCTTCAACCTGTGTGCTACTACTGCCATATTTCCAACTTTTTATCATGACTAGCCCCCCACCCCCCCCCCGATGATCTTTTTCTATGTAACTCAGAGCCATATTTTATAGGTTGTCTGTATTGTTTTTTTATCTCATTGCTATCGAGGTTTCCTTTGGGCTTTTTCAACCCCCCCCCACCCGTCCCACTAGATCCCCCCCCCGGCCCTTTTCTCCAAAAAAGCCCGAAAGTAAGGAGGAAAGCCCAAGGCGCCCCTCCGCAACCGAGTTTAAAGGACCTCTACAATGTTTACATGAAAAAGCAAGATGGTGGCAGTCGCCAGCTCTTCTCTCAATCGACCCCCCCCCCCCCCCATTTCATTCCCTAGCTTTCCAGAGTCTTAGAGTTACTACAGGAATGGGGAATCTTTCTTGCATGGTTTTCATATAAAACTCAATGTTTTGCTCATTTTTTACAACTCTTCTGTATTTTTATATTAAGTACTTTTTAATATTTTGGAGATATATGAATATATATATATGTATAGGCTGAAGAGTTTGGTGACAGTACAGTACATGAATGAGATGAATCTAACGTGGACTAACTCTCTTTTTACAGCTCTCTAATATTTATGCCACGTGTGTTGTCTTGGTCACCCGACGTTAGGGCTCAGAAACCTGCAGTGACTTGTTTACTTCCTGTCGGCCGCTCAATTGGAATCCCAACCGTCTAGTCTCATCAGCCCCCTTTTCATTCACTTTATCTAAGATGTTGTGACACACTACACGCTATGTGATTCCGCGCTGCTCGGCATTAGAGTGCAGCCGATGAAGCAACGTGAATGCAGATAACCGTATCGACCATTAAATGGGAGTGAATAATTATCTATCCGAGCCCAGGGTTTCTTTGTTTCTGTACTTTGAAGCGACTACGACTGATCTGTTTGAATGAATGGACTGAGGGTTGACGGCTTCAAGCCCCGCCTCTCCGTGAAGGGGGCGTGGTCTGTTGAGAGAACAGCCTGAGGAACCACACAGAGCCGATGGGTCGCTCTGATCCCCCTCCGGGTCTTTGAGGTGGACCCGTGCGAAGAAAGTATGTTGGATGAAGTCCACGAAAACGACTTTCAGAAGAAATTCACGATAAACGGTAGAAAGGATTTGTCCTCATGTCAACGTCCAGGGGGCGGGGTCTAATTGAGTTTATCAAGGCCGGGGCGGTTTCATTTCAGCCCAAAGAACAAAAGGACGCCACATTTCTTTTATTTAGACATGAAATAGGGACATTTAAAGGAGGCGGAGCCCGCGAGTCATTGACATCCTTCCACCGCCGCCGGCTTCGGAAGCCTTCCTGGAAAAGAGCGCCGCCGTGACATCACTTCCTCTTCCCGCCGTGCGCCCGTTGGCTCCAGTGGGTGACGCGTTGGTTTTTGTTCTTGGTTGAACTGATGAACAGCTGTGCTCCTGCGGCAGGTACGACGTAACAGGTGCGGGGTACCTGCTGCCTGACAGGTAATGGGAGGGGCAGCAATCAGCCAATCGTCACCCAGCAAAGCGTTAAGGATGTTCTGCAAAAGTGTTGTTCTTTTGTTTTTATAAAGTTTGCAGTCACACACCCCCCTCCCCCCCCACCCCATGTCCTCCCACCTGGATAAGATTGTCCCTCGGGTGAGTCGCCCTCACAGTACCGGGCCGCCATGTGCAGGCGGGACTCTCGTCTCTCATCCAGATGTTTTGGACCGCGCCGCCTCTTTTCTTCAGAACAGCTTCCTGTTGTCGGATCTTAAGCGACTCTTTGGAGAACTGTCACGTCCGCTTCAACAATCCCAGAAAAAGGAGGGGAAAAAAGTTTAAAACAAACTGAAATATCACAGTTGAAAAAGTCATAACCACTCAACATATATATATCTATCATGTCTATGTATTTATATCTAGTATAATTACACGTGCGTGTGTATATTGGATACAAATACATCGATGTGTATATGTATATTGCTTCTCAGTTGAACTTAACTGCAAAAAAGACTGAAAAAAGATTTGTTTTCTGTAATTACTCTGATACACAGTAATAGGCTGTTGGTGTTATTTTTGTATAAACATAATATCATCTATGTGGCATGCATGACATATATACAACAATTTGGTGGTTTAAAGCAATATGTCCAACATGCGATTGGTGCGATTGGTTCTGTCGTGTTCTGTGTAGCCTAAAGCCACTCTGTGCGAAAACGTGTGTGTGTATATATATATATATATATATATATATATATATATATATATATATATATATAAAAATATGTGTGTATATATACACATATATATATAAAAAACAAAAAGAGAAACTGCATTTGGATAAAACTAACTGTTAAGTATACGTGTTCAATGTTCTGTGTTCTGCATGTTTTAGTATGAAATGAAACATCCCAAAAATGTGGACCTGTTTTTACCAAATGAATCACAAATACTCGCCCCCAAACACGTGCAACATTGCACACATGCACACACACAGACACACACAGACGCTTCTGTACTCACACTGTGAGGTGAAACACTCTGAGGAAATTAAAACCGTGTGACTTCTGATGGATGGATTGATGAAAAATGGAAGATTCTTCTTTTCTTTTGTTTTCATTGTCTCATTTATTCAGAAACTGAATAACATCCATCACAGTTGCATCCTACCGTACACACACACACACACACACACACACACACACACGCGCACGGACAAACTCTGACATTTACTGATTGTCCTGAACTCATCACTCGCTCACCTGAGGAGGAGGAGACATCAGGCCTGAAACCTTCAGGTCATCACGTGTCACCATCTAACCAATCACATCCATTGATGTCTGTGATCCATCATCCTGCAGAGAGTCTCTGCTGCTTCCTGGTTTTAGGAAAACAGAGTTTATTTGGTTTTCTTAGTCACAGATCAATCCGTACACGTATCAATATGTTGGCTGATTGGACATCTTGCCCCGGTAGTGCACATAGCAGCAACTAAAACATTCAGTCTATCTTCATGCGTGAAGAATGAAAGCAACAAATCCTCTCATTTGACAGAAAAAGTTCCATTTTGGCTTAAAAATACAGTATAAAAACACGTTTCCCCTCTCAGGTGTTAAAACTAATTAATAATTAAATGTTTATCTCCTCGAGAAGTCAACGTCTAAAACAGCACAAAAAACAAGAAATAAACATCCTCACATGCTTGCTCACCATGGTAATAAGTAAACTGTCATATCTCTTTTTCATAGAATGTCGTAACCGAGTATTTAAAGAAAAGTGCGCGATAACAAAGCGTTTGATTCAGACAAGTCAAGTCAGTTTGTAACACGGCAGCGTTCTTCAAATGATATATCTGCACAACAGAACATGTTAAATGCGCGTTAAAATTGACGTTTTTTGTAGAAATGGCCGCCGTCTCGTTGAAGTGCGTGGAGACGTTCACAGGGACCACGCAGCCTCTTAAATCAACCGTCTGTATGTACTTACTGTCAAACCAGTGAAATTATTTCTTTAATTCACACTCAAACATCTGCAGCAATCTGACGTATTGTCGCGTTTGTGGAGACATTCGTGTTCCCCAGATGATGAATCCTTCTGACTTTTGCTCCAGCGCCCTCCCGAGGTCCATGATTTTATTTCTGAAGTAGTTTGTGCTGCGTGTTGTTTGAACTAAGACTTTGGACCCGTTGACCTTTGTACCGGCCAAACACCCCATTAGCATAACTACCGTTAGCATTTAGCTTCAAGTCTTCAGGCTGCAAGGTGTCGCTCACGCCCGTTTGTTTGGGAAACAAAATAGAACTTGTGCTTCCCCCTAAGTATGTGTGTGTGTGTGTGTGTGTGTTTCACTCTCATGTTGTGCGTTTCGATCAAACATCCTCCCGTTTGCTTCAATCTATGCAACAGAATCCTCCAGTTTGGCTCCGGTGGTTCATCTGGTTCCTCACGTCCTCTCACTCTGTCCTCCGTCTCTTTGTCCGCTTTTTATTTTTCAGTTCTTTCTGCAAACAGAACCACGACACCGGTACATTGATGTATGCGTGAGTGTGCGTGTGTGTCTGTGTGCGTGTGTCATGTTGTTTTCTTTACTCTTTTGTAAGATATGATGTGGAATGCCTTGGTCTTAGTGTCATGTCGTTTGAACTTAAGCTGAAGAAAAGATGATAATCAAGCAACTGAGTAAAAGTTGTGACCTAAGTATATATATATATAATAAATATAAATATATATAAATATATACAAATATATATACATTAAATAAAGCCAATGGAATTTGAAATAAATTTGTGTCCTCTTGTTTTTTTGTTTCTTTTTACATATTTTCACTTTATTTATCTCCTGGAAAAATATTCCTAATAATAAGTAATCAGCAATGAATCATTTTTCTATTATGAACATTGATCTTTGTGAATACATTTAGACTTCTGTACCATTGAGAGAGAAGCTGCAGAGAATATGATGAAGGATTAAAAGAAACATGTTGTTCTGACTCTCAGGGTCATGTCTGTATTCTGGGTTTCTACCAGAACACGTTTACATGCGTTAATGTTAATATAAGTATACCTGTACTCACCTTCTATTTGTAAAAGCGTCGCCATGGTGATGCCTCCTACTGCCTGTTTTCAGGTACCTTTTTGTCAAGTGTGAATCATAAGATAACTTCACGTAATAAGAGAGTGAGCATTATTTTTAGTGGTTCGGTTGAAGGACGATGACGGGCAGAATTCAAACCCAGAGATCACATGGCCGACATCTTAGATCATCACTGCGTTACCCTGGAAACCCAGCTCATCGTTCATCTGTGACAAAGAGCAACAATCCTCAGTCAGGAGATATTCCTATAAGCCAATAAATGCCATATAAATATATATATTATATATATAGAATTAATATATAGATTAATTTCTTTAATCTAGATTAATCTCACTGTAATCTTGGAATTAATCTACATTCAAATGGCTCATTTGAATTCTGCCGAAGGCATTTAGAATATGTGTGCTACCCAAAAAATTACTAAAAGTAAGTCTTTGAGAACAGGTTTCTCAAGCCAGGTGGCACATTAGACCAGGGGCGTGCTGGTCATGTATTCTCCTCTTGATAGTTCGCCTAGCAGGTAGTTTGTAAGATGGATCACCTTTGGCCGCCTGAAGAACAAGCTCGAGCCCGTCATCTTCTACCACGCTGATGGGCCGGCAGCTGGTGGCAATCCACTGAGCGAGGAGATTCGTTAGCTTGGCCGATAGAGCCGTGCTGACGGGCTCGCCTCGGTTGCACTCAAACATAGTAGTTTGACGACGACTCTTCCCCTGCGCTACATCAGCGCTTGGCCCGGCATCTTCCGCGTTAGCTAAGCGATGCTTTGCGTTTAGGTGGTATTTGAGACTTGAAGAACTTCGTCTTGTCGAGGTTTCCATTGGGAAGCTTCTTGAAAATAAAATGTTCCCTGAAGCAAACCCGGTGACTTCGTAGCAAACCCGGTGACTTCGTAGCTGCATCCATGCTAGCACGTCTCGTTCTCGCCCCCTACAGTGCAATTTGGCTTGGTAAACATCCGCGCTCGTAGGTATACATCCGCGCTAGAATATCAAGGTGAAAATCATCATAGCTTGGGTAGTATAGACCCAGCTCCCAACCCAACTTTGAGAATAGATTATCGGCGCTATTTTTTCTTTATCGCCTCACCATAACGCAGCACGTTACCGCCGATAACGGCCCACCACTAATATATATACACATTCTTAATGTCGGCTCCTGACATCCTCTCCTAACCACAATCCCCCGGGGAGGTGCAAGAAAAACCTCAGGGGCCATTATCTGATTAAAAGAGGTTCACAAGAAGCAATGATAACGAATAAGAGTTATAATCTAGCACATGGATATGCTCATTTTATCTGGCAAATTGTAGCTTTGCATCGGTGAAAGGTCTAGTTAATTTGGCTTAGCTCTAAAGGTCGTAGACGACACGGGATCGGGCACATGAGGAAGATGGCTTAAGCTTGACTGCCAATGTCAATGACCCCGTGACCTTTCCTTAGGAGCCATGGTGGGAACCAACCGCCAGCTGTGTTACTGGTAAGGCTCTGGCTGTAATGAACACCCACCCCTCTAGGGGGCGCTTTCTGTCAGTTATTTCACATATCGGACGGCGTTTGCTCCCCTGCAGCTCCGGTGCTGCTCGGTGCAACACTGCCACCGTGTGGACGCTCGCCGCATTGCACCAGTTGGGCCTCCACCGAGTATAGATGCTGATAGATTCTCTGATTCAGCCTCATTCAATTGTATGCATCTCTCCATGTTTTCACACTTTATGATATCCATCATTGCTTTTAATGTCCATATTGCTCCCACTTACACATTGTACCAGCTTTTCTCTAAAAACCTTGTCAGAAGGTTCGTATGAAATATGACAAATAGACGTTATTCCTGAAAGAAGAAGTTGCACAAACATCTGCACAAACATTTCCCTAAGAAAAACAGAGAGAAACTGTTCCCTCACCCCATCAGTGGTTAGCGTCTTCCTCCATCCTCCTGCTCCTCCAATGGACTGAATCCGCCCACGAGGCCCCGGGAGGCGTTGTCAAGGGTGACGGAGTTTCTAACGCTCTCTGCGATGACTCCGCAGCAACGAGAGGCCTCCGGTTAACCGGAGGAGGTTCGTTAGTGCTTTAACGGGAAGGAGCCCCGGCAACGAGCATCCACCGACAAGAAGTTTACTTTCTACGACTCAAATAAACTGCCTTATAATCTGCTAATGATGTATAATCATGGTGACCAGCACTGTCAAACATGAGCTTTAATGCTATAACAACAATCAAAAGATTTCATGATAAATAAATGAATAAATGTTCCTGCTTTTGGATACTTAATGTTTATTCAAAGCAAACGATGACCATGATTAAGTTATAATCACATTATAATACATTCTAACATTGGTAATAACTAATTGATTATTGCTAAAAAATCAATTATAACAAGCAAGTACATAATTTCTTGTGAAGCATAATACTAACGATTGCTTGCAGCTTGAATCACAGTGTTGCAGGCAGCTGATAATGCATTAGTTATATCATACAGTATGTTTACGGTAGCAGTATGTTTAATGTATTATAGGCGTTAGCGTCACAGAAAATGCCCCCAAACGTTTAAACCAGTTTGCTGACGTTCAGTTTTATTTCATCCTCTCTGACTTACTGCCAAAAACATCAATAAAAACATTGTTGTGAATTCCTCTCTGACTGAAACGGATCGTATCAGAAAATAGAAAATAGACAAAGAGGATAATCCCTCGATAGAATTCATCCCTCTTTTACAAAAACACCTGATTTACACATTCAGAGAGATGCTGACGTTTGTCAAACGCCCCTCTGGGTGTGTGTGTGTCTGTGTGTGTGTGTGTGTGTGTGTGCGTGTGTCAGGGGGCTTTATAAAAAGGTCTGGAGGTGGAACCTGAAGTCAGTTTGGTGTCTGATCGTGAGAGAAGCTGCTGTCATCTACCAGGTCAAATGTAAGTAAATCGTCCTCCTCCAGCTTCAGACCTGTTTTGTTTGTGTGGATGTGATTTATTTCTGTTTGTTTTTTTAGTTTCACTTCTGTGAGGAGTTTCCTGTGATTCCTTTAGGCAACAATATTTTTTTGTGTTAAAAATGTCTGACGTGGTTTATTTTCATGTGAAGTAATGCATTCTTTTTTAGTTAATTCTGTGTGCTTTCTTTTCTGCTTTTTACCGATCAATCGATCAGCTCGGATCCACTTGATTTGTTGTTGCTTTTTACCCACAATACCTTTCTCTCAGAGACGCTTGTCTTTGGATCATCTTTGGGTTGCTCGTCCACCCTCACGTCTGCTTTCAGAATTCCTGAACTTTTTATATAAACTTATTTACAGTGAAACGCTAGTAAATTGTACAAATAATCAAAATCTACCTTTTTATTATGTAAAGAAGAAGAAGAAAGCTCCAATTCTACTTCTTCACCGAAAACCGAACAAATGCAGGAAAATAAAATAAGGTGTTGAGGCTGAAACCGTCTTGCGGTACATTTATGCTGCTGACGTCAGAGAACAAACAACGAGACGTAAACTTACACCTCAGACCTGCAGAACGTCCTGACGCAGTGATGTTCTGAGACGTCGGGGTGAGAACATCACAGCGCGGTTTCCGGGTTTGAAGATACCAGCACACACCGACTGCTTGCCGGTTCACCATATTTACATCCATCGAAGGCCGACATCCATCCTTTATTTTAGTTTTCAGTCCAGTTGTGTTCGCCGTTGTCAGAGAGGACACCTGAGGGTCTGTTAGCCGGTGGTGGAGGTTCCTTCTCCTCGGCCACCTGCAGAGCTTCTGATGTGTTTCTTGCAGAAGATGCAGGCGTCCCTGAGGCCCGTGCGCTGGCTCGCCGTCATGCTTCTCGTCGCCTTCACAACCAGCCGGTGTCAACCGAAAGAGAGGTGGGATGCAATGCGTTTTATTACGGTCACGTTGGGGGAAAATAAGTGAATTTGATTCCCAAAATGTGCATCAACTGGATCTTCGAGGAATACTTAGTATATTTAAACACAGCAAGTATAAATACCACTGTCTAAATGAATCCTGATGTACACACTGTATACAACCACCTATTCAATTGCTTCATAAAATACTAATATTATGCATATTCACTGCTTATATTGTTTACAACTTGCATGTAAACATGCTTTAATAACTATTTTTGCGACTTACGTGAGAGTTCTTTCTGTTCTTTATGGGCTCTTATTCTTGTAACTGCACGGGGAGCAATGTTCTCACTATCTTAAATTCAATATTCCTAATAATAAAGATATTACAAATATTTTTTATTATTAGCTGTCATAAATATTGTGGTATTCAAATGCGTTTTTTTCATCTTCTTCGTGCTTTCCTACATGTATTCTGACTGCGACAAACTCTCCTCCCTGCAGCCGCCGAGCCGTCACCGAACACCAGCTGATGCACGACCGCGGCAGAAACATTCAGAGTCTCAAGAGACTCATCTGGCTGTCCAGCGCCATCGAGGGTCTCCACACGGCCCAGACCAGGTCCGATGACCTCAACCCAACGAGGGTCCTGAGCCTGGCTCTGAATCCGGCTGGGAACCCGCAGCCCACCCGGGTGCAGAGCCTCCTGAGAGACTTCTTTAATCCCCACCTGACGCAACAGCAGGACAGAGAGGCCTAGCAGCGCTCCAACCACGCGAAGCCTCCGCACACATAATAATCATCATGTTGAAAAGAATTATTGGTGTTTGTCTTGAGACAATCTGTGTCCAAACGTCTCCCGGGAGGTCAGTTATAAAGAACGTTGTTTGTGGTTTGAGATGCCTGAAGTCGACCTTTAGTTCATGTCAGATCGGGACACATCGAGGCCCGAGAAAAAATAAAAATATGTTCAAACACAATTAACTCCCTTCAGACAGCAACATGAATTGCAGAGGAAATGATGATGTTTAAAATGCCAAATTACCTCTTTTACAGCCTTCGGCAGCTACGTGCAGATGATGATGAAGTTTGGTTGGTTAATGAGGTTTTCACAAGCACGTCAGCCTTCTTGTTCAGTGCTTTCATTAATAAGTCCAGTGCCCCGATTTCTTTTCACATTCTGCACGACGCCAGATGAATGTAATAAAAACACAGATCTGCTGGAGATTTGAGATAGAATGTGGTGTCATAATTGGTATGTGCTGACCTCAATGACAACATTTAAAATGGCAATAATGGATAAAGATCTCTTTAAAAATGTGAAATCCGCCTCCACCCTGATTAAAACTGTAAAAATATGCTAAACAAATACAAGTACATGTATCATTACTAGGAAGTGTACAGCATTATAATGCAATGTTTGGCTAATTAATGTTTAACGTCAATGGTGCAACTACTTGACTATTAATGTGTGCTGCATTAACCGGTCCTTCACATGTAAGAACAGACCCAGTGTGTACATAAAATTCAAATAAAATGAAGTAATGCATATAGAAACGCCTCTTCCACTCTACCCGGGAGACTCTAACAGCCGCCTCGACAAATAACGCGAGATTTCCGGGGTGGCTAACGGGAACGGACGGGAACTAGCTTGCTGTGACAACCACAGTGACAGTCACCGGTCGTGGTGATCCACCTCCAGCTGCACACGTCCCTGCGGTGATCTAACGGTCATAGAGGGCAACTTTAAAAACTGAGCACCCACAACGGGGTCCTGTCTTCCGCCTCGAAGCGCCCTCGCAGCGTCCGCGGCTCTCGTCCTTTAATCGGCCAGGTCAGTCAGTGTTACATCCGTCAGTTAGCTGGCTGTCTTGGGGGTTAGCTAATCAAGCTAACTTAAAGTAGCCGCAAACATCAGGTGAGGTGTCAGTTGTGCACTGTGACTTTCTCCATTTATTTAATGGGGCGTTGTATTTTCAGTCGTGTCAACAGGTTGAGCAATAACGAGCCGACAGCGGGGGAGGAACGTGAAACTTCCGCACTGACACAAGTCCGTAGTCCTAGCTTCCGTAGCTAGAAGCTCCGCTAATGCTAATCCTCAGCAGCAGAGGCTACCGATGAGGAGCCAGCTAGCCGCTAGCTAGCAGCGGCGATGCTAGGCAGCATTAGCAGAGTTGTTGTTTTGCTATCGTCGCTAGCTCATGTGTTGCTGACAGTCACAGGAAATAGTTTAGCAACGCGGACACGAATCGTCCGCTCTGTTATTGCTGTTTACGGTTGAACCCTGTTAATGACTTCTTGGTGTTCATGTGGTCACAGACGTGCGGCTCCGTTAGTGTTTGTAGTCATGTGCTCTGTTCTGCGATGATATAATCAAGGGTACGAACAATAACACACGTGTGACACTTCCCAGGCATGTGTGTCCCTTTCTGTTGACGTGTAACAAGTACTTAAGTATAGTTTGGAATACTTCTACTTTACTGGTGTATTTCCATTTTGTGTTCCTTCCACACTACAACTCCTGAGAGGAACACGTCACACTATTTATTTACTTATCGAGTTACTTTTTAATTTTAATTTAATTTAATTTATTTTTGTGCCTTATTTTTATAGATTCCATTTGCACTTTATTAATCACTATGTATCGGAAAAAAGTGCAAACATTAAATCTACATAAGAATGCACCATTGCTCAATTAAATGATATAGATACATATTAAATTAAATAGCCTTTTCACCCATGTGAGAATTTAGCTTTCTTTTTAGTCATTGTAGAGTGAACGTGTTCTGCATGGGTTTTGTGAATCTGTCTTGCACCATATCGGGACACTATTGTGGTACTGTGCTCTCGTTCCAGCCTCATCCAGCCCCACTGTGGATCTTTAGCCCCACTGTGGATCTTTAGCCCCACTGTGGATCTTTAGCCCCTCCGGCAGGACAGTGGCAGAGGCAAAGGCAGAGCCATCGGGGACCAGACCAGCAGGCAGCAGGGCTCCATGAGTGCGACGGGGCATCAGCAGCAGCAAGGTGGGGGCCCGCGTTCTCGCCGAAGCCTTGCCCGGGACAAGGACCCGGGGCAGGGCATGGGCATGGAGGCGGCCTGCTGCCTGGCCCCCGGAGTGCTGCGCCGGCTGATCGAGCTGCCCGCACCCCCCCTGTCCAGACACCAACTCAAGAGACTGGAGGAGCACAGGTAGACACTCGAGTCCTCTGAGACAAACTGAAGTAAAGACCTCCTGCAGGGTTCTGTGGTGCCGCTTGTGACCTCATCAAGATTGTCACTACAAACGTGCTGTTGAGGATGAACAATTCAGGGAATCTACTGTCTTTTCTTAGATGTATTTTTCACAAACAACTTATTCAGCTTGAATAGAATTTAGTAAACTTACATCAATGAAGTTATTACATTAGTTGTATACATAACAGTACTATTTAATATTGAAACGTACCTTTTATGTTTATTAAGAACAGCTGCATAGCACCCGTTTGCACGCTTTGAATAACTCACATTATTGTATCATTTATGTACTTTTCTCGGGTATAAATAAACAGACTTTGGCTTGTTAACAAAAAAAGGATCTACTTTTTGTTCTCATGCAAACCGAGAGAATAAACCTTGAGCCTCTTACTCCTGATGGGCCACTTTTTTTATTTCTTCAGGTACAGCAGCGCTGGACGCTCCTTGCTGGAGCCTCTGATGCAGCGTTACTGGGAGTGGTTGGTGGGACGAGTCCCCTCCTGGATCGCCCCCAACCTCATCACCATCATCGGCCTGGCCACCAACGTCTTCACCACCCTCGTGCTCATTTACTATTGTCCCACTGCCACCGAACAGGTTGGTCGTCAGTCTGGAACGGCGTCATACTTGACACGCTGAAGTTCATGTTTTCCATAATGGACTTGTTGAATGATGTTACATGTTCCAAATGTTACATGTTATTTAACATCTGTATTAAGCTACAAGTAATAATGGAACTTAACACTTCCTGCAGATGTGTGTTGTTGGGATATCTTTTCTTTCTTCGTATTTTAGCTTAGCTGTGTTCTTTTTTTCATCTCTAAAAGAGAATGATTTTAAATGAATTCCATGGAAAGCTGTATTTTGAACACAGCAAGAGCAGCAGAGTATTGATGAGCCTTCTTGCTATTAAGTATATTTTTTAAATAAAACAAGCTGCTCACACGTATGAAATAGAAAATACGCAGTCATTTTTATTTTAGAGGTCAGAGTTTGATCTTGTGAGTCTTTAGTCTGAGCAGGTTTCCCCGTTTTGTTGTTTATTGACGGTATCTTTATAATCAGCTATTTCCTCTGAGCCTCTGCAGCTCAGCAGGCAGCTCTGGGTCGGATGTCTGATTAATAATGGAGCCGATCCATGAAACCGATCTTTGTCTTTAAGATTGTCGTCAGTTAAAGTCCAGAAAGGTCCAGTAAGAGATCATTTACTCAAAAGCTCCAGAACATCAATTCAATCAATAATGTTTAACCCGTGCTGCAGATTAGTCCCATCTGTATTGAAGTAGCCGAGCAGATGTGTTAACATCTGTATGTAATCAATAACAACACTGTTGTGGGCACATCGGGCAATAAGATCGCTTATTTTCTGCCCTTTCGTTTTGGGTCTTTTAGACTTTGCGTTCGCTCTAAAGACTCTTTGCGTTGCTTGGTTCCAGGCGCCGCTCTGGGCGTACCTGCTGTGTGCCGTGGGTCTGTTCATCTACCAGTCGCTGGACGCCATCGACGGGAAGCAGGCCCGACGCACCAACAGCAGCTCCCCGCTGGGCGAGCTGTTCGACCACGGCTGCGACTCGCTCTCCACGGGTCGGTTCCCTCGCGCTCTCCTGATAATCTAAAATCTTTTTTTTTTTTCTTCTTCTTCTTTCAAATGGACTGATGGATGTAACCGCTGTCTTTGTCCACGCGCCGTGTCTCTGCAGTGTTCGTGGTGTTGGGAACCAGCATCGCGGTGCAGATGGGCACAAACCCCGACTGGATGTTCTTCTGCTGCTTCGCCGGGATGTTCATGTTCTACTGCGCCCACTGGCAGACATACGTGTCGGGAACGCTGCGCTTCGGCATGTGAGTCCTACTGTGTAGTTTTTGCGTTTTTTGTGGAAATAAATAACACAAATGTTAAATCCCGACAGAATGTGTTTTATCTTTTAAGTGCTTTATGCAAATTTCTGATCTTTTATTGATCACTTTTAAAAATCAGAATGATTGATTATATAAATATTCGATAGTTGCATCCGTTACTCCCCTTTGTGTCCCAGGGGTTAAAATATCGCTTCTCTATGTTCAGGGGGTTAGCATAGCTTAGCATAGCTTGGCACAGCGCGACGTATCTCATTACAAATAGACTGCGATTTCCTGGAGTCTCCTCTGGTTACCAGTGAACTATTGGCTTCTTTAAGTCCTGAAAGCTTCGACTCTCCTCGAGCCCTCCCTGTCTAACGTCTGTGGTCCTCACGGTGATCCTCTCTGCTTCCCTCTCAGCATCGACGTGACCGAGGTGCAGATCTTCATTATAATCATGTATCTGCTGGCCGCCGTGGGAGGATCCGCCTTTTGGCAGTCGCTGGTAAATGTGACCACTCCGACTTCCAATGTTTTCAGTGTAAAGGTTCACTCACGCACATCTTTTAATAGAAATGTTTGAGTTGTGTAATTGTTTAATTTTACTGTTTCTTTTTGTAGATCCCGATCCTAAATATCCAGATGAAAATGGTACCTGCCATCTGCACTTTCTTGGGAGCCATCTTCTCCTGCACCAATTACTTCAGAGTTATTTTCACGGGGGGAGTCGGCAAGAACGGATCCACAATAGCAGTAAGTCTGAACTCTTCCCGCCTGTTTTCACTCCTTCAACCGCCTCTTATAAATGAAGCTACGCTGCGTATTGTGAATACTGAACACTTCTGGATTGTGATGTTTGTGGATCAAGGTGTCCGATGTGTGCCGCAGCCTCCGCTCACACCAACCCCCTGTGTCTTTTCGTCTGTCCTCAGGGAACCAGCGTCCTCTCTCCGTGCTTTCACATTGGTTCGGTTATCATTCTGGCGATGATGATATACAAGAAGTCTGCCGTCCAGCTCTTCGAGAAACACCCGTGTCTGTACATTCTGGCGTTTGGCTTCGTCTCAGCCAAAATCACCAATAAATTAGTTGTGAGTCAAACCTTTTCTCTGGTTGTAGACGGTGTTTCCCCACTGAAGTCACTTTTACTGCCACAGAGCTCACAGTGCAGAGAGAACATGGAGGACAGCGGACACGTAGAGCAACATATGGAAGAGCCTGACGTGCACATTGGGCCATAAACGTGTCAGAGAATGTTCACGTGTTTAATTCACAATTTGCTCAGTTATGGGTTTTTTTCTGTCTGTCTTCAGGTTGCACATATGACAAAAAGTGAGATGCATCTCCACGATTTAGCCTTCCTGGGACCAGGACTCCTGTTCCTGGATCAGTACTTCAATAGTTTTATTGACGAGTACCTGGTGCTGTGGATTGCATTGGTAAGTACTCAGGCAGTTATGTAACATGTGTGTGTAATATGTAACGTATCTGTGGCAACAATATATTAATGTTTTAAATAATCCCACAAAAAAAATCCTCAACTCGAAATTCTGAAATATTAAGTTAAAATTATGATTTTTAGTTTATTGCAACGCTGAATTCTGAGATGACGAGTAGAATTTGAGATGCAAAGCTAAAATTAGTCGGTCGAAATTGTGATTTCCTGAGTTGAAGCGGTGTGATTTTCCGTCCTCTTCCTCTTCCTCCCCCTGCAGATCATTTCCTTCTTTGACTTGCTGCGTTACTGCGTCAGTGTTTGCAACCAGATCGCCTGCCACCTTCACATCTTTGTTTTCAAAATCAAGCCGTGCTCATTGCTCAGCTCAGCTGCTCACTGAGGACACGCGGGGCTCCACTGACTCTGCCCCCCACACACCCGACCCCCACCTGACCTCCACCCCTTCCTCCCCTCTGTTCCCCCCTCTAGAGAGTCAGGGGTGACCTGGTGTTCAAAAAAGATAAAGTTCAAAAAAGAAAAAGTACGTGCTTCTGCCAACCGAATGTGAGAACAAATGATCTATGATTAAGGAACCGGAGTATTACTGTCGCCGATTCTTTTTCCAGCGGTGCAGAACGAGAGTCATGAGGATCCTCCTTGGTGAACAGATGTTTCAGGAGAGTACAGGTGCTACTCGAGGAGAGACGCTTCAATGTGTTCAAACGGTTCAAGCGGTAAAGGATTGAAACAAACTCTTTGCTGTTCACAAATATACATTTTGTAACATTTCCGTTACTTTGTTTTTTTTTTTTTTTTTTGCGATTGTAAATACCAAACAGTTCTGTTTCTTTTTAGTTAAAGAAATCCCACTTCGACACGTTATTAAAACTCCCATTTATTTGTTTTTTCTAAACTTTAAACAGGACTTTTGCACCAAAACGAGAAATCTGTTTTAGAGGAAACTCATTGTCGAGTCCAGAACGTTGTCATTGAACGACTGTTTACTGCCAATGTTTTTCATTTCATTTGTCAACTAAAACCACTTTCAGCCTTTTTTGGTGGCACTTTTCAAACTCAGCGTAGGACTTTTTTTGTGTGTTTGTTGTCGTGTCTAATGTTATTTGCTAATGTATTCATCGGGCTAATTCAGTTAATGCTTCCTCTAAACTTTATTGCTTCTAATGTAACTCAATGATTCACGTCATGCACTCGGGTGAACGACACAACGGTCACATTTCTGGCTAATTTCACAAAGCTCAAAGGTCTCACATTTTGCAGTTGATTTGAAGACGATCCGACATGTTTTGACTCGCGATCCGTTACTCCGCTTTCTGTCACGTCTGCACCTTGTTTTATTATTCTATGTTCTTATTTGCAACAAATCACACAAAGTCCAACAACCAACAGTGTGTCGGTGTCTCAACACCTTCTGGATTCTGGAGCTTTAAAAACATATTTAGTTTCCTAAAGCAGCTGGTCACTGTAGTTTTTTATCACACGGAAATGCTGCATTTGTTTGACAGTTTTCAGTCATCATGTTGTAACTGTTGCGTTGGTTTTCATGGTTTTTGTTGACTTTAAGAAATAACAGATAATCGCCACCTTAACTTTCTTTCTTTCTTTTTTTTTCTCTCTTTTTAATGAACCTGCCGCTATGACTGTTATTTATGTGAACGGCACCGATAACGTCGTCTGGTCGACCTTGTGTTTCGCCCAAAACAAGGGAGATGAGGTCACACGATGACATCACAGTTCAAAAAGTGTTGACTAACGAGATTGAGATATTTTTCTTTTATTCTCATTTGAAGTGGCTGCTACTCACTCCGCCTCCAACGTGAGACTTCTAAAGAATACTTGTAGTATTAATGTGGGGAAATGTTTCTTCTAAACAGACTAGTTTCTTGCTTTCGTATTTTGTGCCTGTTTTATGTTCAGTGATGTTTTGTTGAATGACTCCGTCTGCACACTGAGCCTCCACACTTTGTTTTAAATATTCAAGAAGGACTATGATGCCGAGTGTTGACTAATCAATAACAACAAAGCTTCAATGTGGAGTTCAGGTTCAGGGTGGATGGGTCGTAAACCACAGTTGTTTGGGTCATTTCCCTCATCAAAAAGACATTTCTTCATTGATGCCTTGTGGTATCTTTAATGATGGAATATTAGACAAATATTAATGATTTATACAATAAATATGTAATATTCTCTGAAGAAAAGTTGTATATCATTACAAAAAAATGTCTCAGTTGTGTTTTTTTAACCCTAATGCATATAAAATTGCACTTCAGTGAAGGGTGTTAATGAAAATAAAATGATCGCATAAAACAAGTCAGCAACGACTATTTTAAGAATGTATTAGTTGTTTCTGAAAGACTTACTGCTATTGTGGAAAAACACATTAGTGTCAAGAATAAAGATGGCCTTTTGAAGAAGAAAATAATTTGTAAAAGTTATTAAGTAATAACTTTAAACATTGCACCAAGGTTCTTGACCATACGCTTTTATTTTTTTGTAAAATATTGACAAATTCTTTGTTAAACATTTAACCTAAATGAGTTATGGTTATGGTGAATATAAAACACGTGATCTTCCTCTCACCCGCTGCAGTGTCAATGAGGACACATTTACCGCCCCCCTGTTTCACACTCGACTTTGAGGCAGAACTCAGGACCAAGCATCCCGAACGTTGGGCCCAATCCGAATGCCTCTAAACCCTAAAAACCCTAAAGCCATGACCCCTTCTAACCTCTATGACGTCACCTGGTAAGTGGTCGAGTGTGGAGTCTGTAAGGGCTTGAAATTATGTAAATACGAATGGACAGCACTTGGACTGCAACATATACCGTCACCATGACACTTTAAAAAGTATGATTTCTCGATGGGTGATGACCCATCGGAACAGAACCATCTGATGTAGTGATGGTTAGAGGACACTTACAAGCCCATGTGTTAGCCCACTCATCTCTCTTGTTATTTGTTTAAATGAGTTGTCAACATTCCCCGGATGTATCCCTACCCATGGTTGACAATTGGAATTAAATGGTCCTTGAAAAAAAGTTGCGGTAATTCTTATTATTAATACTTTGTCATTGATCCATTTAGGTACTTTTAATATTTGAACTTGCTCTTATTTTGAAATCCGTTCCAACCGGTATGCCTCACGTGCACACGCAGCGCAGAAGAGCGGGTGCGGTGACGTCACCATGTTTTTCGAAGTGGGCGGAGTCTTCTGTTCGGTTTTCTGACAGCTCCGAACACCGGAGACCGGAATCCGGTCTGGAATTAAGTGGTTTAACGCCGTGATGTCAGCGCGGGATTAAAATAACGTGAGTGTAATTTGGTATAAACGTGTAATACGTTAAAATGTAGCGTCAATATTTGTCTTTTGGTGCTATTCGGCGTAGCTAGTGTTAGCTAGCTAGCTAGCTAGCTGCTTTTCTGTGGTATCAATAAACTTATTGATCCGCCAGTTCTCAGTTCAACGTTAGTGTAACTCCAATCTTTGTAGTGAGGATGCGTATATGTTTCTTTGTGTGCCATTAAATGATTCTCTTGGTGAAGTTTTCTCCAGTTGGTGAGAACGAGACTTGCAAACTGGAGTTTCGTTTCCCTAAAAACGACAGCAGAGAAAGCGGCTGTTTTCACATCGCTTCACATGACTTTCAGTTCCGCAGAGAACACGAGGCTTCAATAAATAGATGTTTGCAACCGCAATAATTATATCACCTTAAGCTGAGGGGACGCGTGCATGGAGGCGCTTCTTATAAAGTTCATTTAACATGAATTCAGCCCCTCAGAACTCATCAGTCTTCAGTGAGAAAGCGGGATGTTTCATCCGCAGATCGATGAATAAACTCATTGTTTTCTTCAGCCAACAGTTTAAAACCTAAAGAGATGAATTTTATGGCAGAATATCAAAAGTGTAAGTACTATAAGTGAAGTGGGAACCTGTTCGTATTTGGGTTAATTGATTAAACGTTTCAGCTCGATCAGATAGTTTCACATGGAGACATCAGTAGTATTGTGTTTTTAACAGGAAGGAACAGCCTCCTACTTATTAACCCAGGGACACAAATTGTGATGGCAGAAAAAAAGTAGTCGCAGCCATAAATTGACTTCCTCATGAATTGACTTCCTCATAAATCTTTTTTTAATCTCAGCAAAAGGTCAGAACATGTTACAGCGAGAAGCGTGTTGGAGAACGAGACTCGAACCACTGATTAAGTTGAAACTAGACTTTATAAGGTCAGAATTCACTGCAGAATTCTTCTTTTGATTATTGTTGAGTCGTATGTTTTTGTTTCCCATTGAGAGACAGAAACTTAACATGAAGGTTGGAATCAGCAATCACATTATGATTTAGTTAGTTCTGATATTTGTCGTGTCCTCAGGACGGCAATGAGAAAGCAGCAGGACGAAGATGATGATGATGATGATGATGGCTGCTGTTTATAACAATGTGTATCACTCTGTTGTGTACAGGCCATCGTGAAGCAACAACACACACACACACACACACACACACACGCACTCTGAGAGGAGACCATGTGGTGGTTCCAGCAGGGTCTGTGCTTCCTGCCCGCGGCGCTGGTCGTCTGGACCGCGGCGTCCTTTATCTTCGCTTACATCACAGCGGTGGTGCTGAGACACGTGGATCCCCTGGTGCCCTACATCAGGTCTGGGTCCGGACACATGGACACACACACGGACACACACACACACACACGCAAGGACACACATGGACACACATGCTAAATGCCTCCTGATGCAAATTTACGATATCACATTTGCCTTTTCTTTCCTCCTGAGTGAACTTTGTTTTGTGTTGCAGCGACACGGGAACGACGGCCCCAGAGAGATGCGTGTTCGGCATCATGCTAGATGTGTCCGCCTTTTTAGGTAAAGCACGCATGCACACACACACACACACACACACACACTTTCTCTTCATACAGTACATACTTACTCTTCAACAGTTTTTATTGTTTCTAAATTACTTTTAAGTAGATAATATTTCCCATGATTCATTCTGATTTGATGTTTTAGTTCAAATATTGTACTTTATTTACAATTTATAAAGGGATTTAAAAAAAAATCAGTATGCAAAAAAGTAGAAGAAGCTGATCTATATCTATTGGATTTGACTCGTGTGTGTGTGTGTGCGCAGGTATGGCCACGGTGTACGTGCGCTACAAACAGGTGGAGGCTCTGACGGGTGAAGTTGACCTCCGGCTGAACAAGTTGAACCGCTTAGGGCTGCTGCTCGGCCTGGTCAGCTCCTTCGGAATGGCCGTGGTCGCCAACTTCCAGGTGAGCGCCGCTGATCCCGGATCAGTTCCCGCCTGTACTGTGTGTGTGTGTGTGTGTGTGTGTGTGTGTGTGGAGGGTTGAATGTTCCCACAGTGAATCTGTGTGTGTGTCAGCGCAGAAGACCACGCTGTTCTCCATGCACCTGGTGGGGGCGGTGCTGACCTTCGGGGTGGGGGCTCTCTACATCCTGGTCCAGACGCTGCTCTCGCTCCGCATGCAGCCTCACGTCCACAGCAGGACCATCTACCTGGTCCGGCTCGGCGTGGGTCTCTGGACCCTCGGCAGCATCATCAGCAGTATCCTCATTATACTCATGACATAAATTCTAATCCTAATGTCCTCAAAGGATCATTGTTTCTGCTACTGGTGTAAAAGGTGTTCGGTGGGCCAACACGAAGGCAGCAGAACCTGCATGTTGGACGTCGTGAATCAAACTGCGTATTGTTGCAGAATTGCCGCGTGTTCGATCCCTAACCGCCTCCCGTCAGTGTTCGTGTCCTCCGTCATCATGTACAGCAGTCTGACCGGAGTGGACGTCCCTCGCAAGCTGCACTGGATCCCCGGAGAGACGGTCAGTCAGACCTCAAGTATTCACTAATATCGTCCAAACGCGCCCAGCGACACCAGAACGCGATGTGAAACACACAAGTTGTGTGAAACGGTAACGTCGTTTTGTCTCTCAGGGTTACACGGCTCACATGATCAGCACCGTGTCCGAATGGTTTCTGGCCTTCTCCTTCATCAGCTTCTTCCTCACCTACATCAGAGACTTTCAGGTACCTTTTGTCTCTTTTCAGTGTGGTCGCGCGAATATAACTGACGGAGCTTGTGGGAGGAAACGTATGTTTAGCTTTGAACAGAACCATGCTAACGGTTTGCACCTGCTTCCAGTCTTTATGCTAAGCTACTAAACCCACGGACATTACCAAGAATCATCATCAGACTCCACAGAAATATCTTCCGGGTTGACGAGTGGGAACCGTCTCTCTTATCACGTTGTCTCTCGCTCTCTTTTCTCCTCTGAAGAAAATAAACCTGCGAGCCGAAGCAGATCTGCAGAGCAGCCACCTGTACGACAGCTGGCCGCACGCCGCGCCGCCGCCGTCTCACAAGAGCGACGGCGGCGAGTCGTCTCCTCTTCTCTCCGGAGAGACGTGACCGGCTGCACGGCTCCCTGCGGCTTTCTACTTTCTCTCAGCGTGTTTTCAAGGGCTTTTTTTTGTATAAAGACTCTTAGACGCTGCAGGCTCGTAAAGGGTCCGTTCACCCCAAAGACACATCCGGGTCACAAACATCATGGCGTCCATTTAGTAGTAAACGATTGTCAAATGAAATGGTGAGATTTTAGTTTTGGCAGCTTGCAGCACTTAAACCTGATGAAGATGAACTAAATCAACACCTTGACTGGTCACTTATAGTGTTATTACATTTTAGAACGCTCCCATCCAACTTACTTATAAGTTATAAGCTCCTCCTGAAGCCCGCTGGGGGGGAGAATGTCTTTTATTAATGAAATCAGCGGAGAAAGAATATTTTGGTCTGAGTTTTCTTTTCTTTTATACAAGGGTGTTTTCGGTAAATAAAACAGAATATTAGAGAATAATGCCAGATGCCTTTTCCATTAGCGCTGTGTGAACTGAACCAAATAATTCTATATATATATCTATATATAGACTATTTAATAATTTGAAAGTATATGTTAAATTGTTTGTATCTGAATAATCTATATAGTCATATTAATAAAACACCCATAACATTACCTGGATTTTAAAGGTTCTAATTTGATCTTTTCTATTTTCTATTTGGTCGATTCCACCTCAGTTTATTTGTTTACTCAATGGGTTTTTTATGTTTCTTACCAAACACATTTTGTTTCCTTGAAGTCTAACAAACGTGATTTCCATCAGTTATTTTATCTCAATATTTTGATTCGGCCAACTAATTATGCTTAATCCATGAATTCTAAAAACCTTAATTGTAATAATTGTGAAGGATCACTGCACACTGTTAATATCTTCAGTATTTATACCAACCTTCCGAACTTCTAACTCTGAGTTTCTCCTGTACATTGTACTATTCATGTTGGGACTAAAGAATTCATATCATGTTTGTTGTTGCCATGGTTACGCGTTTGTCCTCTTCAGACTGCGGTCACGTTGCTTGTAAGATGTCATGTTTATATAATTCCTTTGAATGTTTGACGCTGCACTAATCGGGTTGAGGTGGATTTACTGACATTGAGGTTCTTCTGCCAGCTGTTCGTCCTCCAGCTGTTCTCTCATCAGCTGCTTCCAACAGGTCTGACTCGACACAGATGCCCTTCACATCATTTTCAAATTCTAAAATGATTCAGGAATAGGCTTAAATATGTTTGTGTATGATGTCTTAAATCTGGCATCCCTGCAGGGATTCTTCTTTGGACCACAAAGGTTTTTCTACTAATTGAGAGTCTCTCTCTCTCCATTCAGAAGAATGTTTGTCCAGTTTCATACAAATGATCCAGTTCGGATTAAAGATCCAGCCTGATGACATTGAGGAACAAATAAGGAAATGAATTTGAAATTGTTGCAACTGAAGATGGAGAAAACTGTAGAATATAATGTATATATTGATTAAATAAAGACTTTGCAGCTTATCTGATATTCTGCATGTTTCTTTTCATTCTTCCGTCATGTCAGCTGACGCAGAGAGACTTGTTGTTCCTCCAAGTGGCCTGAACTATTGTCTATAAACGAGGGATCTCTGCAGAACAGCAGAGATCCAGAGGACAAAACCGCAACCGTGTTTCAGCAGCTTCAGAAAAAGACCCAGCCAATGCTTTGAAGAGCTTTAATGGAGATCTGCTTGAAGCGATGGCTCAGCACATCCAGAACATCCAAGCTGCTGCAGAGAGTTTAAAATACATAAGGACAAAGTCAATGCATTGATTTCTCAGACCATTAACCGTTGAAACCTGCAAGCGATCCCTTTGTTTTCAATCTCAAGTCATGTGTGCTGTGCTTTCCAGTTGCTTGAGGACGCTGGGAGGATTTTACTGACAGCGGAGACAAAAACAACAACAAAAAAGACCTGCGGTGTTTGTAAGGCGTCAGTGGGCGGGGCCACGGAAAGGCCGGCAAGCTTTGAAAATGTACATCCACGTCCCGATTTCGGCCCTCGTTGGCTTCGCCCCGCCTGAGCTTCAAAAGGCCGACCCGTCACAGATGATGTTCTGGCCTCGGCCCGGGAACAGCTCCATCTGCCAGTACCGCGTGTCCGCGTAGACTAGAGAGGCCGGAGAGAAGGAGCATCAAGGAGTCGCTCTGGCTGCTGCCAATCAAACTTCTCTATCCCCAAAGTGAGAGAATGTATTTACCCATTTATTTTATTGGTGGTGATAAATATGTTTATGAAAGTTCTTAATGTCTGCTTTTGTAGAAATGTTCAATACATCTATTTAATACTTTGAATTTTGTGCACAAAACAATTTCATAATGTATTCTAAAGCAAGAGTTGTGTTAATTCAGTAAAAACATCCTGAATAATTTGTAGACAAAGTGTGCAAAGTTATTGAGAAAATAAAATCTGCATGCAGCTCCATTAAAAAAAAACATTGTTCAACAAGACAATAATTACATCTATTCGTACTTATATAGAAATATATATGTATTGGAAAGTGGAACAAAATATGTTGTGATTTTCTTAACTTTCCTGCTGTGGTCTTCCCGTACTAATCCATGTGTTTCTACGGAGGGATTTGTTTTATTCGGAGCAAACAAAGCCGCGTGTTGCACATAGTGACGTTGCGTTTTTGTCGGGATGAATTTTTTAAAGGACCGCCTAAGCGGTTGCTACCCATGTCGCCGGGGGTCAGCCACAGGTTGAAGGAGCTGCAGTGTTTCTGGCAGCGCTGCACGGGCAGAACTCGGACCGTTGGAAGCCCCTCGCCCACCACGAGCCATCCGAACACATCGACACCCTGAGACATGAGACAAAATTGAGACACCGTGAGACAACGTGATATATATTCTGCTGTTTCTGAGCGGCCGCATAGAGCCTTCGCCCCCCAGACACTTTGTACCTGCACCAATTGAGCAGGAGAAACACAGCATGATGCAAGTTGTGTTGCTTCATTGAGCTGATGAATGATAGTTGAACTCTGTGTCCCGGTTTAGTTCAGATGGGTGAACTCACTTTACTCTGGGAGTTGGTGCTGTGGGTGACCAGGCAGCGCTGCACGATGGTGCCAGCGCTGTCCAGCAGGGGGCAGAGCTCCGCCTTTGGGAAGAGCCACCTGAGCACCTTCTCTCTGGTCCCAGAGCTGAACCTCCTGCACCACCAACACAACATGTGTTAGCAAAACATTTACTATAAACCTGTAGACCAGAAAAGATTTCCACATCCTGCACTTGCAATTATACAAATATTGCAATTACTCCGTATCCGACATGACGGACAAAAGATAATCATTTTCTAAAAGCGTAACATCTTTGTAAACAACTGGTTCAACAGCGTTCTACTTCTGCTTTTATGGTGATTATGGTGCAGGTCCTCAGAACCCCAGTGAAGACCTGGACTTTGAACATAATGTACCAGAGCAAAGTGAAGTTGGCGGGTCCTTGGGGGAGGCCCGCGTTGTGGTACGGCAGTCCGTCGTCCTCCAGCAGAATGGACATGGAGCCTGAATGGGCCAAGTAAAGCTCCTCCAGCTGCTGCCGCTGCAGACTGAGCGTGTCCCCACCCTGCAGAGACCAGCACGGGCATGAGGACATGAGGTAAAAGTTAAGAATGATGAGCCTAAAGTTCAAACGGTAGCTGGGTTCGACCTCTGACCTTTAGCAGGACGAGCTGCGGTCCCCGTCGCAGAGTCACCTTCCCCCTGAGGCTCTGCGGGACCTCCAGCACTGAGGAGATCTCTGCACATCCTGAACAGTTGACCAGATTCTGCCTGAGGGAGCCGGCACTCCACCACTCGTGGAAACCTGCAGCGTAAACAAAGTGGATTCATCTTTGGTTCCAAAAACCCACGTTGAAGCAGAGCAGGTTGACTGACCCGCTCTTCTACTCGGGTGGAGTGGATCTGTGACGCACTTAAGTCATAGAGCATTTGATTTTCTCCTCATCTAGATACCCAGAAGTGTTTGAATAAAAACCCTCTGTGTGTTTGTGTTCATGCTTCAGACCTTGCAGGTTGTACTTCTTGGCGATGGGCAGAGACAACAGGCGGACGTGGCTGAGCGGGGACGACCAGTTGTAACAGCCCAGGTGGACCAGACCCAGCTGGGGGCCGCTCTGCGGGTACGTGAAGGCCAGCACCACCACCAGCAGGAAGCCCACCGCCATCACAAACTGCAGAGACGACGGGGACATTATCCACGCTGAGCTAAGCCGTGTCCAACCGCAGAGCTCTTAATACCAAAACGCTCTATTTATAGGGACCAAACAGTTTGATCTCACTTTTTCTCTGCACACGATCACTTCCTGTCACAATGTTGAGCCCAATGAGAGGTTTTAACAGTCAATCAGATCACCCAAAAAAGAAAAACTTTCCGAAGCCTTGATGGGTTCAATAATGAATGTAATAATTTAACTACGATAACAAATACTTAAAAACCAAATAGATCCTCATATTGATGTTGTGTAAAGTGACTGAGCATTAGGAACAGCACCATGTAAATGAAATGCATTATTATTGTATTGATCACGTCACCTTTATGGTGGCTCTCAGGATGGGGAACTGAGCCGGCTCTCTTCTGGGCTCGTTGGTCTCCAGAACCTGCTTGATGAACCTCTCGATCTCCCTCTCCGACATGCCGTAGCGGTAGCCCGACTGGCGGAGGATGTCGATGCTCTCGGACAGTTTGTCGTAGATGCATGGCTCGCTCGTCGTCGTTCCCATGACAACAGCGGTGGCGGCAGCGTCTTGGTCAAACGCGTTGATCTCGAACTGCTGCGGTCTCCAGGAGCATGGTTCCTCCTACGAAGTCACCCAGAAGACCTTCATTGCCACTTTGGGACTTTAAAAAAGGAAAACTACGACAACTGACTGGATTTAAAAGTCCTGATGTCACCGTGACATTTCACGCTGTGAGTCTCTGAGTACTTCTCACTTGTACAAACAGGAAGGGCTGATTCATGTATAGAAAATGTAATATGCCGATAATGTAGACCACATAACTTGATGTCAATATTACAAAACATTTTGAACAATTATCATCCGTTATGTTCATATAACAACTGAAAGTAATGAAACAGCTGAAACACTTAAGTTCTAACAGCGAAGTACTGTACAATAGTGTGTACTACTGAGTGTATTACATGTAATATCGCATTAAATCATGCAAGCAGAATAACATGCGTTTATGTGTGAAAAGAAGCCCATTAAATGTAGTGGAGAAAACTATAATAGTAGCAGTCGGGAAATACCCGACTGAAGTACAAGTACCTCTGAACCTTAACGTTCCTTGATTAACGTTACGTGTCCTTTACGTCAGATGACGTTACATCCCACCGGCGGGTACGGGACTAACGGAATGTCACGACAAACTAAGACGGACGAGTGAGAGGCGACACGGAGGAACGTCCACGATCGCCACGGACGATGTGATTGACCGATTAAAAACAAACGTTACGAGCGCGGACGCGACGCGGCCGATCAGCTGACAGCGCTAACTGGCGTGTTAGCATGTTAGCTAGGAACGACACTTTCAGTCTGCGTCTGCGTCGCTCGGTAAACTGCGCACGACAGGAAGCCTCACCTTAAGGTGACATCCGCCGCCGTCTCTTCTTTATCGCGTTACCGCCGGAATTACATGTATTTTTAAGTAAACTAGGTCGCTAGTTAAGGGGCATGGCTACCTCAAACAGCCCGGATGCAAACGTTAACTCCGCTTCTTCTTCTTTGGTGTTTTTTTGTGTTGCACTTGGCAAAGTGGTGCATTACCGCCTCCACCTGGACGGGAGGGTGAAATCATGATGACATAAACACAAATACAATCATTTTTGTGGTATTTTGGCTTAATAAGGTAGTTTTAAAACACTGATGATAAAAAGAGATTAGATTTGGTGTTTCCCAAAACATAATATGTCAACTGTAGGATGCCAAAAATACCAGTATGTTTTGTAATATTACGTTGCATTTTCAAGTATTCTTTCCTGGCTATTCCACTGTCCTTTTCACAGCATGTATACACTGGAGGGTCGAAGTTCAAGGTGTAAAGCTATGATGAAACTGTTTGCTCCAATTGAATGCATTCTTTGTTAGGGCAGCTGCAGTAAGTAACACAAGTAATAAAGTACATATAACACAAATGACTCGCAGATTCAGATTAGTAATACAAAAAAAGATCAACAAATACATGATGATGCATTATTCTTGATTAAGATTGAACTTTACTGATGCACTGGCGGAAATTCACAAGCTCCCAGCCGATAAAGTATTTTAAGTAGATATTGATATACATTTTCACTTAGGAAGAATAATCATATGAAAGGTGGTGGTTGAAGATATGTTTCATGTGAGCTACAGAGTGCGCATGTTGATGAGTTACGCATTTCACAGGCAGTGAAACTAATCACCAAGACGCACTGTATATGTGAGTCCTTAAGAAGTTACTTGTACTTATACATTCAAGTTGTGTGCGAATAATAACTAATTGAAGTTAATCTAGAGGTAGATTGGGGGTCAGAAAATTGATTTCCATTTCAACAATGGTGCCAAACTTCTTATTTGTAGATTGCATTGAGTTTACTTGCTGAACTCACGTTTCATAAACTCGTGGATCTAACCAATCACAGACCAGAGAAAGCGACCAACACCAGAGTCCTTTAAAACCTGTTGCCAAAACAAGACACATTGACCAATGAGAGCTCAGTCTGGTCACAGGAAGTCCCGCCCACCGTTATCCTCGCTTGTGCAACAACGAAACCGCAGCGACACAGCGTTGCATCAAGCTAAAGAGAGATACAGGAACTACTGCTGAGAGGCAGCAGAACAATCAGAATAAAGTACAATACATTTACAAAATGTTATGTAGTTTGATTACGAAAATTAAACATTTGCTCCTTTTAACCTATACATATATCTAAAAAAATATAGCTGAAATATGTATAACATTTATACACTTACAAAAGAAAACGTCGGGATTCAGTATTGCAGATTTTATTGTGAAAGTTATAACCGGAAGTCTTCGCTCTCAGCGGGACTACCTTGATAGGGATTCTATAAATTGTATCCGATTGATAGGCGGCAACGTTTGTCAAACCAAACCTCGCTCAATAGTTACGTATTCAGATTAATCGTGAATAAGCTTCTTTATTTAATTTTTTACCACAGGAAGCAGCGGGTTAAACTGTTTCAAACCGGTGAACACTGGTGTTGTGTTCGCGGTCAGCGTGCTGTTGTTATTGGAGGTCAGCGTTTCTCAGCGAGAGACATCCAGATGCTTTCCCCGGGCAGGACACTCTCATCCCGGCTGCTGAGGCCGATCTCAAGGCTCCATCTCCGGCTGGGCTCTGATGGACGAGCCGCCAGCTCTCTGCCTAAAGGTAACAGCCACGCCGAGCAAATTGGTCGGTTAGTTAGCATCAAGCTAATCCCAACGTGACGCAGTTTAGCACGGAGACAGGAAACTACTCAACACCCGAGTGATGGAACGTTAAACTATACAACAAAAACAGTTTGTCAAAATAGAAGAGTGCGTTGAAACTACGAACCAACTTAAAACAATACATCTATAAACATTGCAAAATTGAAAGAAAATTAGTTATCAACGCACTTGATAAATTAACGTTATGTAACAGTTAACTTAAGTGATTTTTTTTAGTCGGATGTTACTGATATGTCCTCATTTGTTTATGTTTTATTAAGTTATATGTTGTCATTCCCCTTGAATGCATTTTCCAATCATTTTTTAAGTATTTATATTATTATTTGTTGTTGTTGATTTACACAGAACCTTGTCGGTAGTGGCTTTAATGATCTAACGTTATTATTTTCTCCCCGTAACATTTTTTTTTTTTACGTAACATATTTTACATACCAGATGCTGTCACTCAACGTTACAAGCTGCGTCATTTAACCAACAGGCCTGTGCCAACAGCCAACTTTAACTAGCTCTCCTCCAGAGATTTAAACACAGATGTATCCATCACAATAAGTGCACCAGGCGATTCCACTTACACATGTACAGAGTTTACTTTGCCCGGACAAACGTTGAGCCCTGAGGAATAAATACAATTCAAACGTATGACCAAAGAATGCAGTGACTTTAAAGGCTCCATGTGAAACGTTTGACCTCTAGTTGGGCTGTGGACTTGTAAGTAAGCTCATCACACAATGCTGGTTTGCTGTTATGAGAGTGCTAATAAAGTGCAGTCTTTCATATAAGGATGACGTGTATTTTTATGTTATATATAATTCAAATGATCAAAATTAGTATGCATTATACAGAAGAGCGATGATGATAGATACACAAAGAGTGTAAATGTGTTTTGCTACATTTTTTAAATTCCAGAACTATACAGTTTTCCAAGTCCGACCCAAAGTGCCGTTCTTTGTGCCGTTCTTTGCCCCTCTTAATAAAGAAAAACAACACTTGCGTCTGCGCTAACCTTTTTAGGAGCAAACCGTCTCAGCGTCATCAAGCATCACCAGATCTGAATAAAATCAGCTGACTGCCTTTATGTTGTTGTGCTTTATTTGTTGCTGCTTCAGAGTTGATAAAGAGGCATGAACTGGAGATCGATGAGCTCCGGCCCCTTTACATGGACTTCCAGGCCACCACACCCATGGTAACCGCTACCCACCATGTTGTCATGGTTACATGCTCTACCACCTGATGCCAGGGTGGTACTTACCCGTACTTGCGCATTTACACTTGTGTGTGTTGGTTTGCGAGTGTAGGACCCCCGGGTGCTGGACGCCATGTTGCCCTACCAGGTGAATTACTACGGCAACCCTCACTCCAAAACGCACGCCTTCGGCTGGGAGAGCGAGAGCGCCATGGAGACGGCCCGCAGGGTAAAGAGACACTCAAAAAAGACAGACTTAAAAAATGTGTTAGTTCCTATTTCATTTCATTATAGTACTAATCTCTCTCTCTCTCTCTCTCGCTCTCGCTCTCTCTCTGAGCAGCAGGTGGCTGATCTGATTGGAGCAGATCCCAGAGAGATCATCTTCACCAGCGGAGCCACCGAGTCCAACAACATGGCCATCAAGGTCTTACTGCGCTTCCACTTCTTCACCACTTTCTCTTTGTCACCTCCTCTACATCACACCTACTCTCCATTTCCTCTCACTGCTAACATGCTAGCCAGGTGGGCTAGCGCTAATCAGTGACAACAGTCTGCAGATCTTCTCTCTACTGCTCTTAGCTGTTTAGATTTAATGTCCGGACTTTGAGGCAGAGTTTGTTTTGTAAAAATATGTCAACTGCCTTTTCATCCCGGTTTTGACAAGAAGGGACCAACGTCATGCAAGATTGCTGACAAAAATATAGTTCTGAAAACCCAAACAAAAAGAGAATAAACAATATTTTAGGTGCCTTATTTTTCAATGCAGTTCCATATCTGGAATACACCGACAGAAGGAGGCCTCAAAGTAACTTACTCAAGTTAAAATAGACAACAAGACTTTGCATGTCTCATATGGTCAATAAATGAGACTAAGATCCTCCAACTTGTTGACGAAAACTAAAGAATGACAGCTGACGAAACTAAATGGACAAAATAATAAAGAGACTTTGACCGTGTAATCGATTGATCAGCGAGGCTGCAGAAAAAAAAACCTCCCCACAGGGTTCAGAACCCAGTCTGCGACCTCAGCGCTGACCCCCGTCTCTCCTGCAGGGCGTGGCCCGGTTCTACAAGACCAAGAAGCGTCACGTGATCACCACGCAGACGGAGCACAAATGTGTGCTGGACTCGTGTCGAATTCTGGCCTCCGAGGGATTCAGCATCACCTACCTGCCGGTCCAGGCCAACGGAATAGTGGACCTGGAGGTACGGAGGAGCAGTGCACACGTTCAGCTCAGGAGTCTTTGTATGTTTTACAACTCTCCGTGTCCGTGTGTTCAGCTGTTGGAGGCCTCCATCCGTCCGGACACCTCTCTGCTGTCGGTGATGACCATCAACAATGAGATCGGAGTCAAGCAGCCCATGAAGGAAATTGGTAAGCGGGGGCAACGCAGACACCATGTTTTTCTCCACTCGTTCGTCCTCGCCGGATTGCACCGGTTCAAACGTAGGCTGATTTAAAAGGTCAAGCCGGAGTTTATGAGCCACTGAAATCTGAATAATCTCAGCTGCAGCGTTCGGTGCAACGAATTCACAAGCTCATGTTCACCAAGCAAGTAGACAACGTCGGATGACTTTTTATTCTTTTATTCTAGCGTAACACTTTAATCCGCCCAGCAGTGATGTGATGTTTCTGTTATGTAGCGGACGGTTTCACCTTTAATGGTTTGTCCTACTTTTTGTTGCTGTGATTGAACTATTTTAGCAGTTATCCTCTTCACTAAACTCCATCAAGGACAATGATTTTCACTGATTGTTAGTGGGGAGTAAGTAGGCAGAACATTACGTTGACAGGGTCAATGAAACCTCGACCACCGTGTCCTCTGCCGTCCCTGATCTGATTTAGTGTTCTGATCGGAGCATCTTTACCTCCTTCCTGTCCACAGGTCAGATTTGTCGTTCTAAAGGAGTCTTCCTCCACACTGACGCCGCTCAGGCCGTCGGGAAGATTCCCATCAACGTCACGGACATGAAGGTCGATCTGATGTCCATCAGCGGCCACAAGATCTACGGACCCAAAGGTTAGCCGTAGGATTACCGGGGATACAATCCTTATAAAAGACAATTTCCAACCACCTGGCTGTTAAGAGGCCTTTTTTTCTCAAGAAACTTGAGATAGAACGTGAAGCAGCTGACCTTGCAATAGAAATACAATTACTGAGGGTTGAAAAAGGATTTAAACGTGCAGAGCGCGGCTTCATGGCTCGGCGTGTGGGATTTGGTGATCTAGTGATGCAACCAACCGGTTCCACCAATTTAATCTAAGGTAACAGAAACGGAACGATTAGTTTCAGCCGTTACTAAAGGAATCCGCGCGTGTGTCCGTCCAGGTGTGGGTGCTTTGTACGTGCGTCGCCGGCCTCGTGTGCGCTTGGAGCCACTGCAGAGCGGCGGCGGGCAGGAGAGGGGGCTGCGCTCCGGCACCGTCCCCACCCCTCTGGCCGTCGGGCTGGGAGCCGCCTGCAGCATCGCTCAGCAGGAGATGGAGGTAAAACAAGCGCACCCAAACATCCTGACACCCGACGAACGCACCAAAGCCAGACCAATTGAGCGTGTATGTGTGTGTGTGTGTGTGTGTGTGTGTGTAGTACGATCACCAGAGAGTGTCCATGCTGGCTAATCGTCTGGTCCAAAAGATCACGTCGGAGCTTCCTGACGTGATCATGAACGGAGATGCAGAGCAACGCTACGCCGGTAAACAAGCACACACAGAATTACGCATTACGCTGTCATGCATTAGTAATGTTGATGGCTCCTGTTGTGAGGTTTTCCTTCTGGGTCATTAAAGTGTTCTTGTGCTCCTCAGGCTGTGTGAACTTGTCCTTTGCCTACGTGGAGGGAGAGAGTCTGTTGATGGCGCTGAAGGATGTCGCCCTCTCATCTGGGAGGTCAGACGCAACTTTGTGTGTTTTACGCGTTATTCTCCCGCGAGAGTTCATTTCGTGCATGTGGAAGATGACGGGATGTCGCTTTGTGTGCACACAGCGCGTGCACGTCGGCGTCCCTGGAGCCGTCTTACGTCCTCAGAGCGATCGGGACAGATGAAGACCTGGCGCACTCGTCCATCAGGTACCAACATCCTCACTTTGATTGTCATCAAGTACATTACGATCAATTCAGGTTATTTAGGACTATATGTTGGTTTGAATTGTAACGCGTGTGTGTGTGTGTGTGCGTCAGGTTTGGTATCGGCAGGTTCACCACAGAAGCAGAGGTGGACTACACAGCCGAGAAATGTATCACGCAGGTCAGCCGGCTCAGAGAGATGAGGTGACTTTTGCTGGACCGTTCATTTGTGTTTTTCTAACTCTGATCTCATTTCATCAGTGTTGTCCAAGGTGTATTGTTAGTTATGGGATCTCGTATAATAACTGTGAAATACTAAGTAATGAAAAAAAGGAATAAATCTGGTTTAAAGTGAAATGTTAATGTTATTGTTATAAGTACCTAATAACCTCTCCCTCCCTCCCAGTCCTCTGTGGGAGATGGTTCAAGAGGGCATCGATCTGAAGAGCATCAAGTGGACGCAGCACTAGGCTCCTCCCACTTCCTGTTTACCTCCTGGCTGACGACGACGACGACAACGATAGATCCCCCGGGAACGCTGGGGACGTACTAGCTTTACCTTCTTGTACACAAACACGCACAAACTTCCTGCCCGACTTGAAGTCAGTTTGTAACTGCCGCTCGCCTCTTTGACCGGAGGTCGCTCCGTGACCCCGTGGCCGTGTATCACAAAGCGAATCCGTATTTATTTGGGTTAGCTGGCTTCACTCTTTGTTATCTCCGAACATGTTCAGGTAAAAAAGGATCTCTTGTTGACAGCCTGCCACGTGTCACACCGTGAAGTCCTTTAGATGACATCGACTGCGGCGCCATGCAGGAGGAAAGATTTAATAAGGAGCTGTTGTAGTGTAACTCAATGCTTTTGTCTTTGTCAGGATCCTGTAGGAATGATTGATGGGTGGGCAGTGCTGAATTGAGTTTTGATCTGAACATCTACACCACTTTGATCTGACCCAGTTAACAGCGAACGAGCATCATGAAAACTGAGTTAGACAAATATTTATTGAGTCTTTTGAGTCCGAATGCCTCATCTAGACACGATTATTCCACTCACCACTTTCCCCCAGTCTTGCTTCCTGTTCTCACATCAGATTTCAGTATCCAGTCATGGGGTCAGTTTATCAGCAGTGTCAGCAGTAGTTTCACTATTCTTTTAAGGTCTGGAACGCACTACAAGGTTGGACCCGAGCACATCGGCTGATCTTCAGGGGGAAGAACGGACGAGGGCCACGTGTGACTCGGGTCGTTGGGGAGAACCTGAAAGTTTGAACACCAATGACCTGAAATATTTTTTCTAATATGGTGTTTTCAGACTGATATAATTTTCAATCCTTGTGTTGTGTTTCCTCAATGTTCCATCACATTTACTAAAAGCCGTCTACTGTTAATTTTAATGATATGTAATTTTTATCCAATAAAGTGCTGCTTCCTTGTTATGCAACGAACTTCCGTTTCTTTGTTTTTTTATTTTCATATCCCAATTACATTTATGAACCATACATGTTAAATACCGCACTATCAACACCCTGGACTAGTTTGCAATGCCTGTCTAAAATTGGGCCAGAATACAAAAAATAATATACACAACGCTAAATACAATGATACAATAAAAATACAATTTTAAAAAGAATATTCTTTATCATTATTGAATGTGTGTTATATATGTGTTAGTATTGTCCAAAAACATTACCAACAAAGCAATGTTTATTGATGACAATCAAAATGCTTGTATTGTTATTACCTCCTCAAATATTATCCATGCAATGTACATATCATTTATATATTACAGTATACATGTATTCAACTAATATTTGTAAATGTCTTGTTTTATACTGCAATATGTGATATAATAGTTGTTACACCCAATATTACAAGTATCTTTTCATTGCGAGAAAAATTGTTTATTCACTGAACTGAACATACATCTAATATGAAACATACGTGTGTGACACTCATTGTAAAGTGAGTGAACTGTCATTTAAACAGGAATGTAGTAAACGTATTTGCATAACGTGAAGTCAGATGGCGCAGCCAGTAGATGGCGCTGTGTCTCCTGCGTCAGGAAAACGCTTTGTTCAGTCTCGCGTCATCACGTCTGGTATCGCGATGTTTGCGCGGACATTTCGTGCAGCAGCAGCAGCCACCACACAGAGGAGAAGAAAAGAGCACAGTTAACGAGTTAAACCTCAGTGTGTTTGTTGACAAATTTCTCGGTAAGAATACAGCAGCGGCAGCCCGCCCAGTGACACACTCACACCGGGAGCTGAGTGCGAGAGGAGCCGCTAAAAGCGTGCGTCCTGCTCGCGTCTCCGCTCTAACACACGCACACAAAGCAAGGCTCAAAATAAGCTAGGTGGCTAACGAAGCGTTAGCTTAACGTTAGTTAACGATGCAAGCTACATTCACATGTTTCTGCTGGGAGCTAGCTAGTTAGCTACAACTGGTAGGATCTCACGGTTGAGGTTTCATGTCGGATACTTATTGCACTGACTGTTTTCTAAAATGTTTTTTTTTTTTTTACTGCGCCTTGTCCGTAACGGCTGGCTACAATTAAGCTAACCGTCGCATTCATAATGTTTTGATGTATTATCACCGGGGATCCGCTCTTGTTGTAGTTTTGTCACGATATGAGACGAGGAAGGTAAATTGGTGAGTTTGATCGATGAAGTACTGTCGCTCGGTTCTTTTTGTCGGTTTTCGCTGTAGCCATAACGGGTTTTCGCTGGAGTTCACAGGCCACGCCCCCGGCAATGACGTTCGACGTCCATGAGTAAGAGACATGAGCTCCAGATGAGTGACAGTTGTCATGGAGACATGTCTTGGTTTAACATCCTATTGCATTTTGCTACACCATCAACTAAACAGATACTTTAAGAATAGGGAATGTTTGGAAAATCATTTTGGATTTGACGTATTATGCAGTTGAATGATGTTTTTACTTTGGGTGGTTTCATTTTCGGATGTATTGGTTTTGTCGTATTTCATCAAACCAACCTCTTTTGGTTAAAGCTACAAGCTGAAATACATTGGTACCATACTAAATTTATTTTAATCCCTTAGTATCAATATCGGTAAAGGCCTTGAAGATCTCTCAGGTAATTGTTTCCTCGGTGTGTTCTAAGTTGCGGTGTTTTGTTGCATATTCAGACATTTTACAATTTCTTCTTGTATGTCAGTTCTTTCTGTTTTTGTCTCTGTGCAGGTCAGTGGAATTCTGTACAAGCAAAACCAGAGAATTTATCAGTCACTGTTGAAACAGATTGATGGATGTCTGGTCTGGAGTTCATGTGCTGTAGTTAAAGGTTTAGTGAGGTTTAGGTTTTAATCAAAACAGATCCTTTTGTCATTGCTCTGTCTGTTCGTTGAGACTTGAGCTCCAAGCTGGCTGACTTGTGGACATTCTCTCATCCAAAGAGGAAACCTGTGTTTTTGAGTTAAGTCTGTGGATGTTGCCAATCTTTGCGTCCATCCCATTGTTTCTGCTGTGTCTTGGGGTTGGCGACGACATGTGGACAGCAATGTATTCCAGCTTTAAACAAGGCAGTGTTTTGCTCATTTTTTTCTGGTTTTCTGGCTGTTTTGAAGTAGCTTATTTTCTGTATCCTATCTTGTTTCTTGGCTCATGTAACCTCTCTCTGGATTCTCTGGTTGCCTCTGACATCATTAGCTGTTGCTGTTTTCTTTCCCGCTGTGTTTACATCCTCTTTCTGCTGTTAATGTTTCTCACAGACTTTCTGCAGGTTGACACCCAAAAGTGATGTCCATGTAAGAACTTGTGAGGCATTAACACAACTGACAAGCGAATGTCAGTGTCTGTGACTTGTCTGTGCTGAGGATTAGAAGTAAAATCATTGATGTTTGGCATCGTTGTGTGGCGAGCTGCAGGAAGCACCCTCGCACCAAAGATGGCCGAAAATGTCAGAGTTTAGTGAGAAATCCGTTTATTATGACCATGATGTCTGAGACTCCTGGTTGAGGGTTAGTTAGCGCACAGACCCTGAAGATCCAGAGGATTGTGACAGCAACTTGTGTTGCTCGTCTGCCGTTTCTCAGTTGGTCAACATGGTTTATCAGTGTTTCTCTGCACCGTACTTCTGTATGTTTTCTCTTCTGATCAGCTGCTATCTTTGGTGCTGTGCTGTCAATCAGTTGCTGGTGTTGCTCTGAATTACATAATGCTAATGCCGCTCTGGTTGATATAATGCTAATGTTGCTCTGGTTTATATGTACCTGACATTGCCTTTTTTAAATGTTGGTGACCTTGCTTGATTTGCTCTGGTTGGTAAGCTACTGCTTTGCTCATGTTTTTTGTCAATGTATAACAGATTTGCAGGTTTCTTGTGTGACATTCTACAAGCAGTTGCTGAAGTTCTGCAGGGTTGATTTGGTGCTTTTTGAGATCAGTCCTGCTCACCTGTTGCTTTGTGATTTGAGGGCGTTTGCTGGTTTGTTGGACATGTTTGCTGGCTGGTTGCAGTTCAGCAGGTCCATTCTTTAGTTGTCTATTCTGCTAATTTTGTTAGTGTAGTTTGATATTTGGGATACCGGCTTTAGTCGTGATGGATTTTGGTTATGGACCAGTGTGTCTTTGGTAGGAAAGCAGGTGCACTCAATGTTGGTTTTGCTGAAATATTAAGTCTTCTATGGCTGTTGAGAATCTTGAGTGCGTTAGTTTTTATTGGAGTCTTGTTGAAACAACCTCTTTAGGAGAATGCCTGAACCCATATATCACATTTTGCCTTGTAAATATTTGATTGTTTAAACTTCAGTTATTACCAATTATTAAAACCAGCCTGCCAACTGCTGAAACCCCCCCCCAAAACAGTCTTCCTCTATATTCAGTTAAAAGTTGAATCAAACAGGAATGTGTTTTTTTATCTGACCTTTTCAACAGGTTTCAGCATCCTTCAGAAATCCTGTCTGTTAAACTGTGAAAGTATACACACAGCCTAGTTGCATTGGTGAGTTGCGAGCTGCATGAAATTCGAAGGTTAAATTTTTGTACAGAGTACTTCAAGACTACCAGCACTGTATTTGTAGACCGCAATAACGGACACTTAACAGAGCCAAAGAGTACTGAATATGTTGCATTGTCTTTGTGACTGTAATTGAGCTGAACTGCTTTGCAAGTTAGTTTGAAGCTTTTGACATTCACTTTATTTTTATTAATAACAGAAGCAAAAGAACGTTGGGTGCAATAATACTTTCTCTTTCCCACTCTTGTTTTAAACATACACTCCATACAGTGCTCAGTCTTACCTCTCTTTAATAGTCTATTTTCCATTATTGAATATTGCTCTGTTATGGTGGACACCTGAGGGCGATTATAGTCACCAAATATTGTGTTGATCAATAATGTCGTTGTATAGCCCAGGCCTATGGACAAATGTTTTTATTTATTACCATGTATTTATTTTACAAAACTTCAACAGATTATTGAACAGTGGTTATGTTAATGCTTAAAATTGCTTATGTTGGGGTTTAACAAAGTCTTACCTGCAGCCTCAAGATCTGTAACAAGTTAATTGCATTTACTGAATGGTAGGAGATAGTAGACAGTTTCAGTTAAGATCTCTTGCTGGTTTCCTTTCACCCCTAAACCCCTTGGAAATACCAAATGTCAGTTATTCTGTAGAAACTGTAAGCAGTGTTGGCTAAGCTTCATCTGACCTTGAAGTCAGATCTGAGTTCCCTGTGGAAACTTCTGGAAACCACTAGTTTCCCTTTTTTTTGTTGCTCTGCATCTGACAGTAGTATTGCTTTTTCCCCAGGTTGTAGGGCTGTTGTTTAGCAGTCAGTATGGCGGTAGTCATCAGGCTGCAGGGTCTGCCCATAGTGGCCGGCACCATGGACATCAGACACTTCTTCTCTGGCCTAACCATCCCTGACGGGGGAGTGCACATCGTGGGGGGCGAGCATGGTGAAGCCTTCATTGTCTTTGCCACCGACGAAGACGCTCGCCTGGGGATGATGCGTACAGGCGGGTCCATCAAGACCTCCAAAGTGTCGCTGTTGCTTAGCAGCAAGACAGAGATGCAGAACATGATTGAACTCAGCCGGCGCAGGTTTGAGACCGGGCCGGGCGCTGTGGAGACGGCTACGCCTGCAGGAGGAAATGCTAATCGACAAGCCGGCCCTGCCCCAGTACCCACAGGACAGCAAGGGGGGGGAGGGAGAAGTAGTAGTCATGGAAACCAAGGTTTCGGTAATACCCCAATCTCAGTGACATCAGCAAGCTCATCTCAGGAGCAACAAAGCAACAAGGCAGTGATCAGTGTGGTGCCCAGCTTCCCCAACAGTTACAGCTCCGCCCCCTCAATCACCACAGCTCTTGCATCACTTAATGCAGGCCCCCCACCCATCCCTCCACTTCCTAGCATGCCTTCCATGCCCCCCATGCCCACGCTGCCCTCACTTCCTGTTCCTCCACCAGTGTGCTCCCTTCCCCCTGTACCTACTGTCTCCACCCTGTCCCAAGGACTTCCAGTGCCTCCTATGAGCCACCTCTCCCACATGTCATCCATGCCTCCATTCAACCCGTCCCTTCCTCCCCCAGGAGGAATGGGTTCAGGCCTCCCTCTTGGAACCCCCAACCCCATGCTGTTTAACCCTCTCTCCCCTCTTGCCTCCCTTGGCCTCCAGGCTCATATGAAGGCTGCTGCTGCTGCTGCGGCTGCAGCCGGAGCTGGAGTGGCCCATCCAGATGAGATGTTTGTCCTCCTGCAGAACCTCCCTTTCTCCTGCTCAGAGTTGGACGTCAGGGAGTTTTTTCGGGGTCTTGGGGTGGAAGGGGCTCGCCTGCTGAGGGACGGGCAGGGTCGTCCAACTGGCCGGGCTATGGTCAAGTTCTTCTCGCCCCAGGACAGCTTTGAAGCTGTGAAGAGGGGAGGTGGCATGATGGGCCAAAGGTTCATTGAGATCACGCCAGGCTCCGAGCGACAATGGGTCAGCCTCAATGACAGTCTGCTAAGCCATGCACCTCACAACAGCAGCAAGTCAAATAACAGCAATGAGTCACAGGAACAGCATCATCGGCGTGGTATTGCCATGGCAGGAGGCAGGGACCAGCGAGGAAGGTCACGATCTCCGCACCGGCAGGAATTCTGCGTCTACCTCAAAGGCCTGCCCTATGAGGCTGACAAGAAACAGATAAAAGAGTTCTTCAATAATTTGGCCATCATGGAGGACAGCGTCTTTATTGCGTATGGGCCCA